TTTTAAAAAGTGCCTTCCAGTTCTGCTTCTTAGTTCTTGAATGAACTATTCAACCCACTAAAAGTCATTTGTAAAGCATTTATCAAAAAGAAAGGAGTGATAAATTTCCTCTTTTCTTGAGTTCAGAGACCTTTCCTCTATGATTTGTCTATACAGAGATTGATCTAGATTCTGCTGCACCTTCAGCTCTTTCAGACCAGAAATGCAAATTCTTGGAATTAGTTCATGTATAACCCTCAACATGTGCATACACACACACACATGCACATACATGCGCACACACTTGCACATGCACACACATGCGCATAGACACATGCTATCCAGGAATTCCTCAAAGCTTGTGATGTAAAACATGTTTGCTCAGACAGATTAAGACCAACTAAGCAAAATATTTTTTAAAACATCTACATATAGATCTTTTTAATTTGAACAGAATAAATTTGAGGCTTTTAGCCTGTGAATTTTGCCTGTCTTACACAACTGTATAAGAGAATAATTTTGCAAGCCAGTCACAAAAAGACAAATACTATGATTCTACTTATATGAGATACTTCAAGTATCTATTGCCTAGTAATAGTAGTCAAAATTGCAGGGAAAAAAAGTAGAATGGAGGATGCCCAAGATGGGGGGAGGAGGGAATGGGAAGCTATTGTTTAATGGGATAGAGTTTCAGTTTTACAAGATGAAAACAGTTATGGAGAGGGTAGCGGTAACAGTCAACACAACTATATGAATGTACCCTGAAAAAGAGTTAAGATGATACATTTCAGGCGATGTGTAGTTTAGCACAATAAAAAAGTTCTGAAAAGGAAAATAATACAAAGATACTAAAAAAAATTGACTCTTTTATTGCTTCCTTACCTACACTGGCTGGTATATGCTCAAGTGAGGAAAGTCATCTTATGCAGCCCCACAATTAGATAAAGGCAAAATTGCCTATGGAAATGACCAAACCCTTAATTAGCTAATTGCAGGTGCAATTGGCCACTTGCACCATCAGATGAAGGGCAAGTGGTTAATTGAGCCCACAAGTGACCTACTCAATCAGAACTAACAAATGGCTCATCAGATTAGGTTCCAGCCAAAATGTGTCTGCAAACAATAGTATGTGCAAATACTGCACAAATCAGAAGCAGCAGTTAGATTACTATCTAAAAATGAAACTCACAAAACATGCAATAATTAGGAAAATGATCAAAATAAGGAAAATTCAGTAATGAGCCATGATAATAGGGGAAGTGAAGAAGACAGACAATGCAGCAATTTTGGGAATTGAAGGACACAGATATTGGAAAGCGTGTCTGCTTTGAGCCATCCCAATTCAGTCTTACTGAAAAGTTTCAGGAAAAGTTGTCATTTTCTTCCTCTAGATTCTTATTTATAGAGACCGTCCAGAAAGCCCAGCACAAACTCTTGTACAAAATAGGAGATTGGGAAATGTAAATGAATAAGCAATGGGAGGACGCTATATTTGCACAGAGGGGTAAGAATCCAAGAACAGTTACTGCAGTAAATTGACAGAATTGAGAAGTTTCTGTCACACTTCCCCAGTACTGATCATTTTTGTGTGACTATGTTGCTACCACATGCAAGCTCACTAGTGAGAGGAAACACTAAAGATTTTTTCAAAATCTCAGTAGCTTAAAACAACAAAAGTTTACTTATATAAAACCCATTATAAATTCTCAGCAATATTCTTTCATCTTATAAATTATACATCTCCACCAGGCCTTCTACCTTCACCACGCAGGAGGACAAGAAGACCAGAGAACAGTGCAATGAACTAGGGTTTTTTCCTTTACCTCAGCCTGGATGTGTCACGTGTCATTTCTGCTAACATTTCATTGGCCAGAATTAGTTATGTGGTCCTGCCTAACTGAAGGGGCTGGGGAGTGTAGGATCCATCTGCTAAAAAAGAGGAGAGCTGAAATAGAGTTCAGTGAACCCACGGCATTTATTTTGCCACAGACTCCAAAAACAAGGAAGAAAAAAAAAATAAGTTATGCATTTGAAAAACTTCGAATACCCCTCTCTCTATGTATACAGTTCTACATTAAAGTAATCAAAATTAATTGTTCAATGTTTCAAAAGCAAATGAAAAGAGAACTATTCATGATTAAAAAAATAAGCCAAAGAAGTATTCATAAGGAAAGATAAAGCCATAAAAGTTGTTATAAGGAAAGACAAAGCCATAAAAGTTGTTAGAAGAAGGAAGGTTGACTTAAAATAAATGATCCAGATCTTCACTCAAGAATCTTAAAGCAGCAGCAAAATGACACAAAAGAGAGGTTAGGAATTATTGAAGATTTTTTAAAAAGTTAAAATATATTTTATAAATAGATCATATTAATAAGAATTTTAAATGTGTTCTTTGCAAAGATTGATAAAGTAGACAGATTTTTGGCCAGTAGGATAACAGGGAATAAAGAATGGATTCTCATGAACTATATAAGAGACATAAATATAGATTTTGAGGAGCTAGCCAGCATATTTCCTAAGAGAAAATACTTGACAATTTCAACCATGGAATATAAGTCTAGAAAACTAATAAAGGTCTGGGGAAACAGCAATAATTAAACCTTGAAAATTTACTTCTTTACTGAAAAGTTTTTATTTTCCTTTCTTCCCTAAAAATTAAAAAATTATTTGCTTAGAGGGCCTCCCTGGTGGCGCAGGTGGTTGAGCTCCACACTGTGAGGCTGTCCACAGCCTCTGCAGCGCAGGTTTGATCCCGGCCGGCTGGGGAGAAATCCGCTTGGCGCAGCAGACCTCTCCTGTGTCTCCCACTACTCACCTCAGCAGTGTATTTTGTCAGTCTGCCTGTTCGATTCCCCACTCTGTCTTTGGTGAATCCTCTCACCCTCCTGCACATCTGGCCTGTACCCCGTCCTTGTATAAATAATCTTAAAAAAATTATTTGCATAGAGTTTTGACTCTGCTTTGGAATAGCAGTACCAGAGTTGAATCCTCTACCCTACTAGCTGTGTAATTTTGGTGAAATTATTTAACCCCTCTGTGTTTCAGCTTCTTGATCTACAGCTACTCACAGAATCTACAGCTACTCATCTGCATCTGGTAAGCTATCGATGAACATGGTTATTATTCCACAAATGATACATCAAACACATGATTTTTAAGTAGGTTCAGAAAAACATTAAGAAATACATAATCCATATTTATATCAGATACTCCAGAGCATAGAAATTATGCTGTTATGTCATGATAACTTAAGGAATATGATATTGGCACAGGAATAGATAGAGATCAATGGATCATCAATTCAGATGTCGTGAAGAGCTACGTAGGAAGATGTGAGAAAAGTAGGGCTGGTGTATGAAAGGCTATATATGGATTCTTTTTTGCTCATTTTTTATATCTCTGTTTTAACAGAGACATGAGACTGAAAAGTAGTTTTCTCTCATAAGAAAAACAAAGACATGAAAGGAAAGAGTGAAGAAGAGACTAAATATAAGGACAATCACAGTTAAATATCATCTGGCATGCTGGTCATGACAGGGAACAAAAGGGTCCCCGAGAACTAAAGACATGACCCCCAATTATATGGAGCATTGGCCTTTGAACTGCAGCCAAACACTAAAGTGTACAATTAAACCCCTAGTGAAACCTCATCGTCTTATTTTTCTTAGAGAGTTTTCTTTTACAAAACATGTAGATTTATATATTTATCAAATAATGTAGTACAGGATGTCTACCTCATTCCATACACAAAGCCTAATTTCACATGGTTGCAAGAGATGAACCAGACTCAAAATAATATTTTTATAATCCCAGAGTAAAACAGCTTTTCTAAGTATGAGGTATAAATCAGGAAAATATTAAGATATTAAACCACATAGAATTAAAAAAATATTTATACTAAAAAAGACAATGAAAGTCTAAAAGGAGAGGTAATAGTTTGGGGAAATGTATATAAATTATAAAACCAAAGATTCATATCTAGAACAGTGCTGTCTAGTAGGACTTTCTGTGATGAGGGCAATGTTAATTTGGTGTATTTTCTTTTGGATATTTCACTCTACATTTATGTACACAATCAGGTAGGTAACACAAATAATTAGTAATAATGCTACTACTAATACTATTACTTAGTATGTGCCACACACTGTTCTAAAGACTTTCAGATATTAATTTATTTAACAATGCTGTGATATAGGCACTATTCTTAGCCCCATTTTATAGATAAAGAAACTGATACTCAGCTGGGCTTAGTAACTTTTTTAAGGATACACAGCTAGCAAGTGTCAGAGACATAATTATATATTAGGCAGTCTGGTTCCAGAGTCCATATGCAAGCTTTCTGCTAAATTTTCTCAAATATGTTGGTTTTGTGATTGTTTTAAAAATTGTTTTGTTGAACTTAAGTACAATTATATGGCATATATCATTCTACAAATGCTATTTCACCAACAGTCTATATGTTCTTGTCTGGACATATATATCCACTTCATTCATTTTACTGGCTGCATGCTATTTTGTGTAGATGAAACACACCATCATATCATCACTAATTTAATCATTATTAGACATATCAGAGTTTCCAAAGAATATCACCCAGAGATCACCATCCCTACAAACTCCATGATGAACGGTACCCACAGGAGTCATGTAGTATTCATCCCACTTAGCCCACTACTTGAACTACCTTTAAGTAGATTTTTTTCAATAAGAATGTTGTTACAGTGAACTTTCTCATAAATGTCTGTGTCAGTATTTCTTAGAAGCTGAATACCCATAACTTGAAGTTCAGAGAAAGGAGAATGGATGGGTAAATGGTGATAGATGCTACCAGAGTGACCCAAGAAGACCCCATTGTTACTCTCCAACCAAAAGTGTGTGTGGGGACTCATTTTATTTTACCCTCACTGAAACATATATTGCTAATCCATGCGTTGCTTGGAAATCTGAAGTGTGAAAAATTATACCTTTTTTTTTTTTGCTAGTGAGCTACAGCATCTTTTTGTATGTTTACTGACCTTTTGGATTTTTTCTGTTGTTTGGTTTGTAGTGTTGATCTATAGAAGGAAAAAAAAATCTATTGACCAATATGGTAGACAATAGTCACATGTGTCTATCTGGACGTAAGTTAATTAAAATTAACATTAAGTATGTTCCTAAGTTGCACTAAGCACATTTCATTTTTTTATTTATTTTTACATCATTGTTCATTTTAAAACAATATTTGCTTCCCCACCAATCCAGGTGTAGCCCCCATAGAATTTCGTTCACCAATGCACCCGTGCACCATTCAAATGCGTATGTTCCCACATAGGAAGGAAGCAGTGGAGAAGAGACTAAAGACTAAAAAGAAATAGTAGACAGATAATTAGAAATTAGACAGAAAATGGAGAAAGTAAGATGTTCAAAGAAAAACAGCCATAAAACAGAGAAGATTAGAACTGAAAGGAAATTGGGAATTATCTGAATCCACAGTATTCAAATTTTATTTTGTGAAGCCCTGGAATTCTGACCAGATGCTCAAATCCATATATTTTTAAGGTATAGAAAATTTTTTAAGAGTGGGAGAGGGAGAGAGGGAGAGAGGGAAAGAGGAAGAGAGGGAGAGAGAGAGAGAGGAGAGAGAATGAGAATTAAATGGGTAAATTAGATATGGCATATTAGCATCTAGTGTGAACCCATTGCAAATAATATAAGGAATGAACGCTAGTGCTGACAACTCTCACACAAACTCATTCAAAATCAAGAAACTACAATGATGGATGGAAGAGCTGGAGGAATACATGTTTATGATCATAAAACTATCCAATCCTGCAGTGTATTTTATTCAAGCAACTATTTCAAAATAGGATTATGGTTCCTAATAGGTTAGTTATATCTAAATAAAAGACAAAGACAGTGAGCAATAAAATATATCTCTCCACTTGCTATTTCATTCTTAATTGAACAGTTTTAATGTTATTAAATTTGATGCAAATTGCATCTTCGTGACATTACAGACATGCACATGTACTTTCTCCCATGCCAGGGAATTAGATTCTATGGAGAGAATACATTTAAAACCCAGTACACCCCAACCCACCCCCATCCCTTCTCTCTGTCCTCTTGTTCCTTTTCCTCTCCCTTCCTCCTTAACTTCAAAGCCCTCAGGATGTTTATTAATGTCCACTAGTTTTGAAAGTGTTTTTCATTGTCAAATTGCATGCCATGTAAATATCCGGTTTTGTTTTTTCATTCTGACTTACTTTGCAGAACATAATTCTCTCAAGTTCCCTCCATTTTGTTCAAAATGACTGCATTTCATCCTTTGTTGTGGATGCATAACTAAAGGTGTGTTGGTATATCTTGATGCATTTGTCCATTGAAGGAGATTTGGACTGCTTCTATGTTCTAGCTATTGCAGATAATACTGTTGTAAATATTTTAGAATATAGGGGGTCTTTAGTTGATGGTTTCATATTCTGTAGATATTTTAGAACTGTAGATAGTTTGGAACTTCCAGGTTATACCGTATGTCCATTGTAAATTTTTTAAGATAAATCTGTATCAATTTCCATAATGGTTACACCAATCCAACAGTGTAATGGGGTTCCTTTTTCTCTGCATCCTCTACTTGCTGTTGGGGGTGTTTTTCATAGGTGCCATTCTCAGGGATGTGAAGTAGTATTTCATTGTAGTTTTAATCTGCGTCCCTCTTATTAGGAATTTCATCTTTCTTATTAGGAGTAACAATGAACATTTTTTAATGCCTTTTTATAGATACCCCCTTTCATATCTGCCACCCACTTAATTGGATTATTTTTTATTGTTGGATTGTATGAGTTTTTTAAATATACTGTATGTTAATAATTATCAGTTACATATTTTGTAAATATTTTCTCCCATTCAGTAAATATCCATTTAATTGCTTGTACTTTCTTTCACTGTATAAAAGCTTTTAAACTTGAGGTAATCTCATTTGTTTATTTTTGTTTTTAATTCCCTTGCCACTGGGGTTGAATCACTGAAAGTATCTTTATTGTTGATATCATGAGACATGTCACAAATGTATTTCATTGTTACAGGTATCATATACAAATATTTAATGGATTTGTAGTTTAATTTAGTGTATGGTACTAGTAAGGAATCCAACTTCATTATTTGATTTGTGGCTTTCCAATTATCCAGCACCATTTATTAAAGAAACTGTCTTTTCCCCATTTTATGCTCATGGATATTTTATCATAGATTAGGTACTAGTATGTACGTGGATTTATTTCTGAGGTTTTGATTCTATTCCATTGGTCCATGTATCTACTTTTGCACCAATACCATACTGCTTTCAATTCTTCTGCTAACCAGCCAAGTTTGAAGTCTGGTAATGTGATACCTCCATTTCTCTCCTTTTTTCATCAAGGTTGTTTCTCCAATTCAAGGCCTTTTGTGGTCCCATATAAAATTCAATATATTTTTGTTCAGCTTCTTTGAAAAATGTTGGTGGTATTTTGATGGGGACTGCATAAAATTTGTTTATCATTTTAGGCAGGCTAGTCATTTTGATTATATTGATTCTCCCCATCCATGAGCATGGGATATCATTCCATCTCCTGTTGTCATCATCCAAGTCCTAAAATAACATCTTGTAAATTCTCATTGTATAGGTCTTTTATCTCCTTTGTTAAGTCAATTCCAAGGTATTTAATTCTTTTTGAAGCAATTAATTTTCGTAATTCTTTTGCTAATTGTTCATTGTTTGCATATAAAAAGGTTATGGGTTTTTGTATGTTGATTTGCAACCTGCCACTGTGCTGGACTCATTTATTGTTTTCTAATAATTTTCTGATGGAGTCTTTAGGGTCTTTTATATATAATATTAATCATCTGTAAATAGTGATACCTTCTTTTTCTCCCTTTATTTCTGCTTATGTCTGATAGCTCTAGTCAAAACCTCTAATTCCAAGTTAAACAAAAGTGGTGACAATGAGCATCGTTGTCTTGTGCCAGATCTTATGGGGTAAATTTTCAGTTTTTTACCACTGAGTATTATATTAGTTGTTGGTTTGTGATACATGGCCTTTGTTATATTGAGGTAAGTTCCTTCCATTACCATCTTGTAAAACTCAGTACTTTTAACCATCGAACCCAAATGTGATAGGATAAAACTATTATAAAAATATGTATACCCCTGTTTCCATAATTGATGATACATCTAGAGAGGAATGAAATCATTAATATTCACATGATGGATTTGTAAAAGCAGTTCGTTTTGTGAACTCTTTAATGAGCTTTACTACTAACTACTATGGCTTTCAACATATTTCTTATTTTTTATGTTGGGTTCATGCAGATGAAAACAGAATTGATATTTGACCTTAAACTGCCCAAAATATGGTATCATCTGTACAAATGATATGAAAGCAATATCTGGGAAAAGCACAGAAGGACTGTCCCTCTTCCAGGCTATCTGCAGGATGTGTTCAAGCAGTGTGATGACTCTTTAATAGCACGTGTTACCAGGCCTCCCCTTGTGGCGCAGTGGTTGGGCGCTGGGCTGCAAAGCTGCCCACAGCCTCTGCAGCACCAGATTGATACCCGGCTGCTGGAGAGGGTCCCACATGGTGTGGCAGAACTCTCCTGTCGCACCCACTGCTCCCCTCAGCAGTGTACTTTGTCACTCTGCCTGTTCTGTTCCCCGCTCTGGTTCTGGTAAATTCTCTCACCCTCCCACGCTTCTGACTGTACCCAGTGCTTGTATAAATAAATAAATAAATAAATCTTAAAAAAAAAATAGCACATGTTACCTTGTTACAGACATGCAAGCTTCTTTCTAGTGTTGGGTTAGACCATATTATATTAAGAATCATTTGTAATGATACTGGTGGTATGTTCCAGAATTTCCTCCCCCCTCCCCACACTAGAAAAGTTATATGATGAAGTGAAGGCAGGATGCTAGTACAGATAGTTCAAAGATCTTAAGGGAGGGGCAAAATGTGCCTATCAGTGATGGAATTCATTTATTAAGTAACTAACAAAAATACAACAGAATTCTAATATTTTCATCCTCATAATTGCAAGTAAGGTGTCAGCAAGGGAACTGAATAGAAAACAAAGTAGATTTTTGTAGACTTGAACAGTGACAGATAGAGGTATTGCTAAGACATCTGAGGGTTTTTTTTTTTTAATGAAATCAGTAAGAAATCTTATATTGTTATCAGATAGATTTGAAAAGTATTTCCTGCCAAAAGACATTCTAACTGGTTGGGTAGGATTCAGTTTACTAGTACTGCCCAAATGAAACACAAAGTAACAAAAGTGAGTAGATATTAGAATATATTAGTGATTATGACCTTGAAATAAAAATATGCTGTTGCTTCTCTTTCAATCCTAATTGTCAATGGAAGAATAAACTTGTCCACTGAAAACGGTTATCTCCTTTGTAAAGACTCCTCTATGTGAATCAACACTTTTATGCCATGAAACCAAAACAAATCACTGGAATAATTGAATTCTGATGCCAATTATGACCCATAAACCCTGACTTCAAAATTACGCTTATTGAGACATAATTTTTCAATGTTGCCCTTATAGTAAATGATAAGCATGAATTAAATAAATATATGTGTAGATGAGAATGTGCATTGGAAGTAAAATGTACTAAAGACTGCTTTTTTTTCCCCCTACATAAAGAGCTGGGTTGCTCATTATCATTTTTTTAGAAGAAATGCTATTAGACATGAAACAAAGCTGACTGATCCAACTTTGTTTTACAGAAAAGGGATTACAGCCAGGGAGACAAGAAGCACCACACTTTACAGCATGGCTCCAGGTTCTGACAGATCTGGGGCTAAATTTTGACTCCTTCACTCAGTTTCTGTGTGCCTCTGGCAATATTCCTTAATCTATCACAAAATTACCATTGCATTATTTGTTTAATAAAAGTACTAATAGCATCTATCTTAAGACTTGTTATGATTAAATTAGATGCTGTTAATTTTCTTTCAAAAGAAAAATAGAAAAACAAAATAATAATGTCCTGCATGGGAAAGTAGTTCAGTATCACCCTGAAAGCAGGAGTAAA